AGTATTGACAAAGTTAATGTTTAAAATCACTAAAGGAAAGAGGAACACATATTTGAAGTCACCATTGAGCTGATCAGTGTTTCCTGTAGTTGGGTTCTTGAACCTTAAAATAATATTAATATAATTGTATTTAATTTGTAATGTATTAGTTTTTCTTCTGGTTGTAGAATCAGTTTGTACAAACACACAATTACTGTGTCAAAAAAACATGAGACAAAATATCTTTAGATGAAGATGACTGTAAATGTTATGGTGACTATCAGGAAATGGTCTGATTCTCTATTAATGCGGAAATACCTTCAAATGCTGAAAGAAATTAAGAAAGGTCAAGAACCCGACTAGGGCAAACACTGTTCACCATAATGGTGATTTCAAACGAAAGATTTTCAATTTAACATCAGCCCTTAAACCCCTGTTATTTCTCAATAAAACTTGTGTAGACGTGTGACAGAAATAAAGTCAGTCTGGTTAGTAATAAGTGAAGCTGGTAATGCTGTTTGTGGAGTTGTTTAATCCTCCTCTGCTGAGATCTTCACAGATTTAATGTCTTCTTTTCTCTTCAGTTGATTTCATCTAAGACTGTGTCTGAAGTCAGTTGTGCTTTTTACTGATCTGGTTTCTCTTTCCTTCAGTGATTCTGCTTGTTTACAGCAGAAGTTCAAATGTTTTAAATAATGTTTCAGGAACATCATACTAACCTTTCAATAACTATCTATTAACATTCAGGAAACTGGACATTTCTGTGTTCTTGGAATGTTACAAATCAAAGTTAGAATGTTGAGTTAAAATTAAGTTGAAAGAATGTTTTATGAACATCATCAAGAACATCAGAAAAACTGGACATTTTAACGTTTCCATAACCAAAACCGAATGTTTGGAAAAGTTCTTAGAACACAAAATTGTTAGCTGGGACAACAGCAGAGTAGTTCAGAAGTTAAAGTGCAGAAAAGCAAGAAAGAAAATAATTAATCCATAAATTTTTTTTTTATTGTGGTTGTTGTCGTGATTTTGTTTGTGGAAGAGCTGAGTCTAATTTATAAAGGTTGTTATTATCTATTTTTTTAATGAGAATTGAAAGGATTAAACAAACGCATTCGAAGTGTTTTATCACTTACCCTTGTTTCAGTGGTGAATTATCCACCCATTTCATGATCCCCTCAGTCTCAGAGTCTGACAAACCAATCCACACACCAAACCACACACCACTCCACACATCCTCCTTGAATAATGAAGTTATGAAGCTCTGTGTGTGAATAAAAACAGGAATAAGTGTGATTCAGTGGCGGCTGCTGGTCTTTCAAGGAGGGGAAGCTCATTTTTGGGGATAATAGTGGGTTACTTTTACTACACCTATCACCAGAGATGGGACCAAGTCACACATGTGCAAGTCTCAAGTAAGTCTCAAGTCTTAACCTTCAAGTCTCAAGTAAGTCCCAAGTATTTTTTTCCTGGGCAAGTCAAGTCAAGTCAAGTCACAGGCTATGTCAAGTCAAGTCAAGTCAAGTCTTGTAGTAGGTCAAGTCAAGTCCAAGTCAAGTCAAGTCACCTTATTATTGTAATTTTACCTGCAGAGTTTGATCTATGGGCGTCAGTTTGGTTTGAAATGAACAGAGGCGCATTCGGAATTGCATTTGGGAACAATGACGCATTCATTCACTTTTTTCTTTCACGCAGGTCATGTTTTAAAAGATGGTGTCCTGTAGCTTACTAATTTAAAGAAATAACAATGTATACAAAAATGTGATGTCCGACTTCTTTTATGAAGAAGAAAGCCTTAAAGGGGTCATATAATGGTACATGCACTTTTACAAGTTGATTGTACTGAAATGTGTGTTGGCAGTGCCTGTACACAACCATCATATAATGATAAAAATCCATCCAGTGGTTTTGTTTTAATCTCCTTATATGTTTTCCCCTGCCTCAAATCGAGCCGTTCGACCGTGTGACGTCACAGGCTCGGAAGCCACTCCCACGATTGTTGAATGACAGCCGCGTTTCAACACAGACCCGCCCTCGCTCGTGAGAGCTGTCAATCATAGTCTGCGTGGACCGGCGCGGTCATTGTTGATATGCTGGAGCACTGTCTATGAGCAGAATGGCGTCTAAGCGATTGTGGTGTTCTGCTCTTGGGTGTAATAACGAACACAGCAGTCATTTTAATGTTCCTAAATCTGAACCGCTGAAGACGCAGTGGCTGAGTTTGTTTTCGAAGGGAATATTCCCCACGAGCAACGTCAATGCTCTCATGTTTGCCCGAATCATTTCACACACCAGACTGCTTTATAAACGAGGGTGAGTATAAAGCTGGATTTGCTAAGTAGCTGCTCATGAAAAAAGATCGGTACCAGATATTCGTGTTCCTGCTGAATCTCCAGAAGAACTGAAGTGAGTGTAACGTTTTATTCAACTTTATATTAATATTTATATCTTTGCAAATCGCTAGCTGCACACTTCACAATGAATGCGTCTAAGGTTTACACTCAGGGTACATTACGGCATGTTTTCTATGTATGACGTTCTCAATATAATTCATAATTCCACGTTTATACTGAACAACGCGTTATGGTTATTGTGTTATTGTGTTACAAACGGTGTACGCACAGAACAGAGGGGCGGGGTGAGCAAATTATCATTTAAAGTCATATGCACTGAAACGGCGTGCTGAAAACAGAGCTGTTTTTGACCAAGTAAAATAAGTGTTTTCTTACAATACTAATGAGAATTTTTAATTAAAGTATATTACAAACTTTTAATTTAGACCCCAAAGAATCATATTAGCTTGTACAAAAATGGCATTATATGCCCCTTTTAAGTTTTCAAAAAGCATTAGACATATGACCCACTATTCTGCTTCGTGTAAGTTATTTATCAATGAATTCAAACGCGTTGGCTGGCGCTGAGCCAGAGACATACGCTCTCAGTGCTGTCATATATCACAACTGTTCAGTGTTTTCAACCACATCATTTTTATTTTAGGTTTCAGACATTTAAATACACATAACTACTAGCAAAAAATATATTTGTAGTTTGTAAAATATACACTGATGTCTATGGAAGCGTCAATAATAATCATTTCCATTATAATAAGACGCACGTTTTATTCATATCAGATACACATTGTGTAAGTAGCTTTACATTTTACCCTATTCTCCTCCCAGTTCACCGGTCACTTACTTTCATGTATTTCGTGAGAAGTTGAGAAATTGACGTGTTGTAAACTAACATGGCACCGCCCATTCGCACATACAGCTCAACTAACGCGATCATTATAAAGGTGTTTAAACAACAAAACACATCCACTTACACATATTTGACAATCGGAATATCAGTGTTGCATGTTATAGCTAATACATTTGTGAACATTTTGAATAAAACAGGAAAAATGACATAAAAGCAGATCATTCATTCAGCGCTGTGTTGTGGTTGCGCTGTGTCACTTGACAAGCAATGACGCGTCACCATGAAACATTAAAGTGAGTGACAGGTTCTAAATAACGGTCGCCTAGAAAAACTCACGCTGGGGGATCAGTTAGAATAGTTTAAACTTACTTGTGAAAGGGTTAATGGCTACTTTAGCTATTACATTAGCTAACTACCAACTAACATTAACAAATTGACAAGCACTTACTGGGCAGAATGGCTCTTCAAATGACGGACGAAATTGGAGGTTGTCGTCTGGCTGTCCGCAATGTTAATGTTGTATGTCTTGCAAAGCGCTGTTCGTCTTTTGCCATCGTGTGAATAATTCTTGAAGCCGAAAGCAATGACCCTCGGTACCCCTCCGGCTGACATTTTGATGTGATATCTGATCTAAGTGGGCGTGGTGTGCGTATAGGTACGAGGTATGACTGATGATAGTGTCGTGATCAACTTTAAAACATTTTTTTATATATATTTTATATTCAAACTGAAAACATGATGTGATTAACACTCAAGTCATTCAAGTCATCGTGTCTCAAGTCAAGTCAAGTCCCGAGTCTTTAACTTCCAAGTCCGAGTCAAGTCTCAAGTATTTCATTTTATGTCAAGTCAAGTCACAAGTCATAAAAATAGCGACTCGAGTCGACTCGAGTCCAAGTCACCAAGTCACAAGTCCCCATGTCTGCCTATCACAGTACAACTACTGTGGTAAAAGCATGGTAAGTGTTGTGGTTACAGTGCATTTTCAACAAATGTCATATTAAAACTACCAATAATGTAGTAAAGGCATAGTAAGTTTTGTGATTAGTAATCACAAAACATACCATGCTTGTAGTAAAGGACATTAATCACAAAACATTCCATGCTTTTTTGTTAAACTGAAACAAGGAATGTGGTGTATAATTGTGTGAAATGTGCAGCAGTTTGTCTTTCGACTACACTTGAACAATCCTCGCTGGAACTGAGCTCAAATAGCTTCCACGTCAGTGAGTGTTTATTGGAGAAAATTGGCGTCAATCAAAAGGAGATGCAGAGATCCTGGCCAGCCCACTCCTCCATTCACTCCCAGAGACGCTGAGCGTCCGTGGGCGGGACATCATGCAGCATTTATCTAATGACCGTCTATAGTTGCGAAGCACTGAAAAAAAAAACTGTTCAAAGCAGCCCCATTGAAGTCAATGGACGCTATAGGCTTCAACAGTGAAATGCACTGTGATGCTATGGGAATGTATTAGAAGGAGATCGACTCAACCGTCCTGCTATATGTAGCTGAATCTGAACGAACTTGTCTTCGAGATGAACGTGTTCTAACGCATTTTTAGTCAATAAAATGTTAACACAATAGTACATATTTGACCATTAATTTTTTTGACAATAGGGGAAGCTGAGCTTCCCTTGCAGTCTAAAATAAATGCCCAATGGTGTGATTCCTCTCATAAACTAACAGTCACTCACACAATCTCACCTGCTTCTCTTCAGTGTTGATAATGATCAGATCAGCTCCTCGATCTCTGCAGAACTGCCTGCACTCAGACCATCTCTTCAACTTATGAGATATGAAAATAAAACTGCCATTTCCTTTCAATAAACACAAACACTTTGGTCAGTATTTGTGGTGTAAAGTGCAAATAAACATATAAATACATGTGTACAAACCTTGTATAGATAACTTTCTTAGTTCAATCTCTAACTCCAGGATCTTCTGACTCAAAGAGTCAACACTTCTCTGTAACTGACTATTTTGAGCAGTGAGATCATTGACTCTGGTCTCTAACTCCAGTTTCTTCTGACTCAAAGAGTCAAAACTTCCCTGTAACTGACTTTTCTCAGCACTGAGATCATTGACTCTGGTCTCCAGTTCCAGTTTCTTCTGACTCAAAGAGCTGAAGTTGTTCTTCAGTTGGTCTTTTTCAGTCATTAGATCAGTGTTCTTGTCCTGTAAGCTGTTGATAGTGTGATTGAACTCTTCAACTGTGTTCTTGTAACTCTTTAACAGGTCTCTCTCTGCTGTGATGGTGATGTACAGTGTGATGAAGACCAGCAGAAGAACACACATGAGCCCGAGACACACTGTCATCAACACCAAACACCTGCTTCCTCCTGACACACAGAGACAAAACACACGGATATCAGTAAATAACAATTTACTCTATAGTAAAAGATGTAACTAAAATCAACATTCGAAATGGCTTTTTAAAGAGTTTTCTTCTGAATGCTCTTTTATAAATGACAATAATAAGAAATAAATATATGGTAAAATATGAAAAAAAAAAAAAAATCTGTTTTAATTCATTTGATACAAACCTTGACGTATTGTACGTATTGTATTGTATAGTTTTTCTCAATTCCTCAAACATTCACCACCATCATTGCTTCAGAATAAACTTTGTACTTACTGCACTTTTGAGCTTTTCCTTCATCCTGGTGGTTATTTGGTGTTTGAGGTCCAGTTGTATCCTCAGCATCTCTTCTTTTAAAATTTACATAATAGATGTCTGATTCCATTATTTGCACTTTCTTACAGTTACAGTACAGTATGTGTTCACAGATGAGCTTTGGTCTCTAGAATGAGTGTCGTTTATTGAACAGTAGTGACCTGACCATTTATGCGGAACCCATGCAAAATGAAATGATGCCCTGAGGTCTTAATTACTTGGAATCTGCTATTGAGCGGTTTAATTATTTATTTTTTGCACTGTTCTATAGGTGTATAGATATGCTTGAGCTGTTGGAGGAAATATATACACATCAAAATCCCCAGTGTTAAATTAACACTGTTCAGTGTTTATATGAGTCCACACTCAAGAGTGTTAAAGTAACACTGAAGCAGTGTTAAAGTTTAAGACACCTGATGTTAACAAGCAGAATCACTGAAGGAGAAAACCGGAATTTTAAGTCACCGTTATGGTGATCAGTGTGTGTTTTAGTTGGGCTCTTGATACTTAAATCATTATCATTAGATTTTTTTTGGCTGCTGTGTAAGTGAGTTATAACAGCCAAATGAACAACTAGAAAAAGGAGATTTGATGGTGTTGGTTATGTTTTAACATAATCATTATTTCACTTTTTTTTCTTCTTTTGTTGTTCTAAATCTGTATGAGTTCTATATCAGTTGATCTAAAATGAAACCCTGGAGTTTCTGGACTGGAGTGCACAGCCCTGTCCCAAATGGATCTTCCTCCGTGTCCACACTTTAGTGACGTAACGCTGCTTTGACTGTCGAGTAGAAGACTGCTGTGGAGCTCGCTTCAGTCCAGGTTCAGCAAAAGTGTGCATCAAATCTGCGTGCATATAGTGACGCAAAAGTGTGTGAAATTCAATGTAGTATGCACTGCAGGCGGCTGTGTGTGTGTGTTCATCATGAAATAGCCTGATTCACTGAGGTTTTTATAATCTAACAATTAAGTTATATATTCACATCACAATTATTATGGATCAGCCTGCCCTGTAAATACCTTTATGTACTGTCTAAAAACATACATTCCTCATCTGGGCTAATGCGCTGAGTCTCATAGGGCTGAGTTCTGGCAGTGGCAAAGTTTCAAATATGTGGATGTTTTTCATTTCTCTCTATTGTGGAAGTTTAATCAATCTTTTTCTTTTTTTTTTTTTAAATTAAAATGTCAAACAAACTTAAATTTGAATTTAACTGATCATCTGACACTTTCTTTCCAGTGTCAACATCTTGAATTAAGTATATTTTTGTAAGATTAAATTTCAGGTAGACTATCTGAAGCCACAAAGCTATCAGTTATCACTTGGAAACAGGCGCCTCAAACCCTGCGTTGTGTGTAAGTGTTGAGCATTAATAATGAACACCTGCTGTTTACAAGCAGAATTACTGAAGGAAAGAGTGTAATGAATCAGCTCTATGAAATATTAATAATCAATAATAACTTGTTATGATTAATTATGAATATTTGGGTCAGTTAATTGGATTAACTTGATGTGGTTAAATTAATATTACAATCAATTAATCAGTTCGTCCAACGAACTCTTTTGATTATTAATTTATGTAGCGACTGACCGAATCCTGTTTTCCTTTCACTACTGAACAAATATGAACACATATATGTTTAATTCACAAAACCTTGAATCATGTGATATGGTGCCCCAATGTCTGCCAGCAGGTCATTGATTAACTTCATTTATGACGCATTGCGCAATCAAGAAACAGGTCCCCGTTGATCTCAAATCCTTACACTGCTTGCAATTTGTGTTCAGTCACAAAGAATAAGAACTGATCCATTCAGGGTCTCAAGCTAGTCTTATTCTATGGATGTAATTGGAGACTGGTCTGTAACTTCGAATCTTAAGTTTATTTCTAAAGAAAGATTCCCCAACGTTATAAAATAACAAAAAAAATAACAAAAACTAGTTAAAATGATTATATTGGTTCAATTTGGACTACTGAATGTATCTCTCTCTCTCTCTCTCTCTCTCTCTCTCTCTCTCTCTCTCTCTCTCTCTCTCTCTCTCTCTCTCTCTCTCTCTCTCTCTCTCTCACATACACACACACAGACACCGCATATTTAAAAAAATATATATAAAAATAAATTCTATATTTATTTGCATCCGTGCTGCGTTGTCATGGAAACATCCCAGGTGAAGATAATCTTCTTCTTCGGTAGATTTTATTTGGCAGCTTGCAATCATTGTGCATTACCGCCATCTACTGGACTGAGGTGTAATCACATTGGGACGTCATAAAATACCTTTACCATCCTATTGGATCAAAGCCCAAGCTTCAGCTGGCGCTGCGTGTTGAGCTCAGGTGAAGATAATGAGGAAGTTACGGCTTCTAAACCGTGAATTTTTATGGGCGTGATATTCAAATGATGATTGTTTTCAGCAGCCACATTTATCAACGGCCGATCATTTGTACGATGGGATTGGCTGTATTTGAATGTTTCATGAATCACACGTGAACCCTATGATTTCTGCGCTCGGATCTACGTTAGATTGATAAATGAGGCCCACTAAATAAAGTAGGCTCTAAACGCAGAGGTCTTTCTGGAACTTCACGAAAACTTCCTCTGAGAATCTGAAGGCTACAGTCTTTAAAGCAAGGTGAGTTTTTGGTACAGAAATCTACTGAATAAAATTTGCTGTGTGTTTATGCATTGAGAAATCCACAGTGTGCAGCATTTGAGTGCAGACATTTAACTTCACATAATTATTCATTTTTAGGTTAATTTCAGGTTCGTCATGGCAATGCTGAGAAGTCTTCTGCTGCTTTTCGTTATCTGCTCCATGGGGAATGCAGAAGGTAACCAAAACATTTAATTTTAAAAACCCTTGATAGTTTAACTGCATTTTGGGAATGTACAAGATTCCATGTACTATTTGCATGATTAATGAAGGATTTTCAGTGTCAAAGTACACTTAGCTTTGGGCATATAATCGCACAATTTTGAAATGAGCCACATAAAATAAAAACCCTTTTTGCTGTAAATATTACAAAATCCCCATAACATTTAGGTAATGTTACTGGATCCACAAATGATTCAGAAGGATGCCCACTTGAATGGACCGATTCTGGACTCAGGTGCTACAAGTACTTCTCTCAATCGGTTACCTGGATTACAGCAGAGGTAATGTATTAGTTACATCATGGGTTTTCCCCAGAGCGGATATATTAGAATTTATAACTTTTTACAACAAAAATTAAACCTCACAGAATTTACGTAGCTGGACTGTAATGCTATTTTCTTCTGGAAACAAACTTTGTTGCAATTTTTTCCCCCGCTTTTGAAACATTCTGAACCGTAAAAAAGTGCTATATAAATGTGACTTGACTAACACAAAATTATTTGGGCACATCTTTATATTAGGTGTCTTTAACTACATCCAAATAAATGGTTTGGTAATGTACGTGTTGATGTAAAACACTTTTGCTGCTAGGTATGGTTAGGTTTAAGTGTGGGTTAAAACTGGGTCAACCGAGTAATACTAGATCTAATTACAGCTGTATTAATTGCTTGCATTTAAAAATGAAATAAAAATAGTTTGCTGAATCAAATGATTAATTTAAATGTTACAGATTAAAGACCCTTAAAAAGAAGCTTTCCCAGTTATATTAAGTGAAATTCTCTTCTGCAAATAAATGCAACAGAAAACTGATACCGAGCAAATAATCGATCAGAGCAGACTTTGTTTCCAAATGACTAAAATGTTTAATCTTTTTGGCAGAAAGCATAAACGACTTTAGATTTTGAAATGACAAATCTGTCTCTTCAGAGAAACTGTCAAACTCTCGGTGCGAATCTCGCATCTGTGCATGATCAACCAGAGAATGATTTCCTGCTGAGTCTGTTGCCGCCTTCCACAAGAACTTGGGTTGGTGCTCATGATGGTGAACAAGTAAGTTAAATTGTGCGCCCTAAAGATCCCTATTTGCTTGTCTAAACTGAAGTTTCTGCTTTAATCAAAGGTGAAGGTTCTAATGAAGATAGTTTGACTTAAAGCTGAACTTAAGTCTGGCTATAGTGCACTTTTTGGATTCATTCTCTTCACTTATTAGGACGGAGAGTGGTTGTGGAGTGATGGATCTGTGTATGACTATACCAACTGGTGCTCTGGAGAACCAAACAATGCTGTTGTTCCTGAGAACTGTTTGGAGATCAACTGGACCTGTGAGTGCACTTTCAATTTATAATTTGCAATCCTATAATTTCATATCATGCGGTAACGTTAAATGACTCATTTGGATTTCACCAAGTGCCTTAAGTTGAACACCATTGATTCTAACTCCACGGTAATGATCAGCGTAACTGATTTCATCATTCCACCCTACAGATAACCGTTGCTGGAATGATGCTCCCTGTTCAACATCAATGAACTATATTTGTGTATTGGATATTAATTATGATCTCACGCGTGGTCGGAGATGGTAATTAGTCATCCTGCTCCACATTTACTTTGATCTTATTAAATTTACTTTTTCTTTTCTTATCAATCTCTTTTCAATATTTTCTCCGAAACATTCCTCAAATTAATAAAAGCATTGAATCAAAGAATGTGCATTGTGGACCATCAAATAAATCTGTTGCATAGCAAGGTGTGAGGATATGGTTATTAGAATGGCATTTAATGATATCAGGGAAGGGGTTTAAGCAAGCGGCGCACAGCGGTTTCATACACCAACACTATAAGACATTTGTTGAAGCAAATTTAGATTTTATCCAGGGCTCTTTTTGGTTTCGGTCTAATAAAATATGCATCATGATGCTGGAATTCACAATGATCTTTACATGGTCTTTTGGCTCAAGTCCAAAACCCCATGGTAATATGTTACACTCTGGTATTTGTTGAATGTCACATGTATAATGTAAATGTAGGCCTATGTGAGCATGTTTTGGAAAGAAAATCCTCTACTTCTGGGTTTATGAGGTCTCCTGGGGGTCCCTAATGCTCAATGCCCCGATTTTAAACTATAAGGTCAATCGCCTTAAAACCAAACCAGGTAAAGTGTCACCAACGCATCTGAAGAGGTAAGGAGAACTTAAAATATAATAAGATGGCATCAAACTTAATGTAACAAGGGCTAACACACAAATTAAAGAGGTAAAAAAGAAACCATATCTGCACAGGCTCAAAAAAATAGCCTAAACAGAAAATTTAGCAATTTATTTTAGTTTTGGACAGGGCTTTTAGATGTTGTACCAGTTTATTTCCCTCATGATGAGATGAAGCTCAATCTCTGTGACGTCACACTGACACACGCATTCTAAATCTTCAGATTTACTCATGGTTTCAATTTCAAATGTCATAATTTACAGCTAAAAAGTCCATAACTCTGTTTGATGGTTCTAATGATTACAATGATACCATATACAACGTCATAAACCGTTCAGGTAAATAGTTAATTCAGTTACATTGTGAAAAGGAATACAATGAAAACGCATTATCTTAGATGCAGAATGAAATTAAAAATATCATGTACTCTTAATTTACAATCACAAGCGCATGAAACACTGATTAACAGAACAACCGGCAGGACTTAGACCAGAAAAAAATTCTAAGGAATAAGAAACTCTGGTAATAATTACAATATTCATTATTTAGCATACCAGAAATATACTCCAGCGCTAACTGCTGTTGCTGTTGCCAGAGCTGCACCTCCTGCTGCTCCCATTATTGTTGCTTTCACAACAGTTAATGCAGCTGCTCCCACTGTAGCTGCTAGTCCTGCTGCTGCTTTGACTCCTGCTACTGCTTCTGTTGCTCCTACTGCTGCTCCGACTGTTGCTCCTGCTACTGATCCTATTATTATTGCTGTTCCTACTGTTGCTCCTACTGCTGCTGCTGCCACTGCTCCTGCTAATAATGATACTGCAGCATCATGTTGCTTGAGTAGAAGAGTCCTCTTATCCTGCTCGGTGTATCTGCTCTCTCCATTCTTCTCTCGCAGACTCTTTATCTTTTCCAGAAGCTCAGTGACCTGAGATTGATCTTCACCTTTGTTGTTAAACACATGAAAACCTCCTGAACACTGATCAACTACTGACCGCAGTGTTTCACATTTATTCAGATATTTCTCTATTGGCTCATGTAACTGATCTCCGTGAGTAAAGAGCACTATTGTGTGATTTGAGAGCTTTGATCCAAAATAAATATGGCTCAGTTGCATAACATTAATTTTCTCCTTTGTGAATGTCTCACCCAGTTTGATCACCAGCAGAAACACATCAACACTATGGAGTGTAAACATCTTCTCTATTTGAGATTCAGCATATTTAATCTTCACTGATGTATCAGAGAGTCCTACAGTGTCGATCACTGTGATTGTTTGTCCGTCCAGCTCTGTTTGTGCTGATTCACAGGTTCTGGTTACAGACTCGGGAGAAAAATCTTCTTTAAATGTTTCTCTAACACCTATGATGGTGTTTCCTGAAGCGCTCTTTCCTGATCCAGTCGAGCCCAACAGCATAATATTCATAAAAGAAGGTTCTTCCATGCTGTTCCTCTGCATCTTTCTGTGATTTTATTTCTCTCTCTCTCTATTACAAGGAAATACATTTTTACAGTTTAAGTTTATATAACTTTATCTGCGAAAAAAGAAACAGAAAAAACTGAGACAGACTAAATCCAGAAAACTATTGCACAAAGGGCTCAGTTCTGGCAGCGGCAATGGTCATATGGCCCGTATCTGGGCCACACACAGCAAGACGGTTTTAGTGTGAGTTGTGGCTTGCTGTGTGTGGCCCAGATGCGGCCCATATGACCTTTGCCACTGCGGCAAAACTGAATTAGGGTTACAGTCGTAACCTAAGACGTTCCCTTTCGAGGGAACTCGCGTTGCGTCCATGTCGCTTTGGGAACAAGAATACCCGAACGTCGTGTTAAAACTGTCTCACGACTTGAGAACTCTAGATCCAGCGGTATCCATGTCTAAGTCATAATCTCTGACATACAAGAGTGGCGAAGACCAGCCCGCTGCGTCACAAACTTCTTGAAGAGACAGCCCAAAAATTAGGGCCTTGGAGGCCGCCACACCCTTAGTAGAATGGGCTCTAGTGGCCAAAGGTGAAGGCTGGCCCACAACCTCATATGCAAGAGAGATAGCCTCAACTATCCATTTGCTAACAGTCTGTTTGGATGCAGGAATACCTTTTGTAGGAGGCCGAAAGCATACCAGCAGCTGATCTTACTTTCTCCACTCTGTGGACGTAAGTGTACAGTTCTCTTACTGGACAGATGAGTTTCAATTTCTCCTGGTCTTGATCTTTAAAGGGAGGAGGACAGAATGTACTGCCTGCAGTATGATAAGCCGCGGTATATTGGTTGGAACCTTTGGTACATGGTTTCAGATAGAGAGGAACGCTTTGACCATCCCGGGTGCAAACTCAAGGCAAGAAGGAGATACTGATAGGGCCTGGAGATCTCCTACTCTTTTTAGTGAGGAAATGGCTAGAAAGGAGCGCAGTTTTGAGGGTCAGAAACTTTTCTGAACAGAATCAAGGGGCTCGAAAGGAGGGACAGATAAACCTTCTCGAACAAGTGCCAGATCCCAAGCTGGAACTCTGGTACGAATTGGCAGGCCTGAGCCTCAGGCTGCCATGCAGGAAGTAAAAACTCTCCACTTCAGGGCGTATAGCTTCCTTGTGGATGGAACTCTGGAGTAGAGTATGGTCTCTACAACCTCGGTTGAGAGACCAGAGTCTATGAGTCTGGCCCCCACAGAGGCCAGACCCACAGGTGGAACACTTCTGGACCGGGACTAGTCCCCCGCCTGAGTTAGAAGGTCCCTCCTGACCGGCAGCTTCAGGTAGGAGCCGTCAAGAAGGGATATTAGGTCCAAAAACCACACCCAGCTTGGCCAGTAAAGAACTACCAACATAACACTCACTCCGTCCTGGCGAACCTTCTCCAGAACTCCTGGGAGCAGAGCAATCGGGGGAAATGCATACAGACGTGTCCCAGTGGTGCTGGATGTGTGAGGGAGAACCACACTAGACAGTGCGTTGTATCCTGAGACACGAACAGATCCACCTGTGCCTGGCCATAAACCCCCCAAATGTGCGCCACCACCTCGGTGTGGAGCCTCCATTCCCCGGGCCTCAGCCTCTGCCTCAACAGGATGCCTGCTCCTACATTCTGATGTCCCGGAATATAAACTGCTCAGGTAGAGCAGTCTCCCTAGGGACCACAATACAATCTGGTGCGCCAGTTTGCATAGTGGACGTGAACGCAGACCCCCTTGATGATTTATATAGGAGACCACCGACGTGTTGTCTGTACAAACAAGCACGTGATGGCCCCTCAGGTCTGGAAGGAAGTGTCTCAACATGTTGAAGACCACCATCATCTCCAGGCAGTGTATGTGCCATGGAAGATGATGACTCCTCCACAGGCCCTGAGCTGAGCGGCCTTCCATTACCGCTCCCCAGCCAGTGAGGGAAGCATCTGTCGAGAGCAAAACTTGATGGCAAAGAGCACCTAACACTGGACCCTGGGATAGGAACCAAGGAACCCTCCATATAACCAAGGCATGGAGACACTGCCGTGTTACCTTGATCATAGGAAGTGGGTTCATTCTCGGGGGAAAACCCCTTGGTTTTGAGACACCACTTTAGGGACCTCATGTACAGCAGGCTGAACGTTATGTTGGATTATGGTTCTTTTTTATGGTTCACGGTATTTTACGGTTCACGTACCAACCCCGAAGTAATAAAATAAAATTCCGTATCAATTTATAGGCAAGAAAAGTAGTTTGTTTAGGCATGGTTTGTAGGGAATTACAAACCTGCGCACATATATTCAAACGCACATAACTATAGAATCAATTCTTAATACGAATTTGAATGCCATCAGCGTAATTTAACAACAAATGATCATTTCGACGGAAGTGAATCAATCAAAACTAACTTTAGCTCTGTAAAGCTGCTTTGAAACAATCTACATCGTTAAAAGCGCTATATAAATGAGGAGGACTTGACTTGGATGCGGCTGCCATGAACGACGTCTCGATGCCGAACCGCCAGCTGTTCCGACACTGGGGGCGCAAGAAAACTCTCCTTCTGTTGCGCTCGGTACACTGTAAAACCTAACAGTTGTTTGGACTAAATTAAATTGAGTTTACTGGCCTCAAATATTACCGAAAGCTATGTGGACACAAAGACTGAAACATAACTCAAACGTTTTGAGTTATGGAACATTCTTGATCCCAGAATGATAATTGAATGATAATTGTATAGTTAAGTTACTAATTAAGAGATGATTGAGCATTAGTGATGAACACCTGCTGTTATTAAGCAGAATCACTGAAGGAAAGAGAAACAAGGTTTAAGGTCACCATGATGGAGATCAGCGTTTGCTTTAGTTGGTCTCTTGACGCTTGACATTTGCACATATATTTTTCTTTGGCTGCTGTAATTCATTTTTTTTAAACACG